AGTACCTTGTGCTTGCCAGATACGTGCTTTGTCACTGAGCTATATTCCCAGCTCTTCAAATAAAATTTTGAAAGGGGTAGGGATGTAACTCGGTGGGAAACTTTCCTTGTATGCTGTTAGATCCAATGTAAAATAAAGCATGAGAATGTTTCAATTTTGAATACAGATTGAACATTCCTAATTTGAAAGTAAGAAGACTGAGATGCTTCATTATCTCTTTTTTTTTTTTGGTGGCTGGCTCAGCCTGCCCTGGGGGCAGGTCTAGAGAAGCATGTGATGCCGGGGATCAAACTTTGGTCTCTGCACTTGCCTAAGCTTGCCTAAGCAGGTGCTTTAGTCCTATGAGCTATCTTGCTGGCCCTATCTAAACATTTTTGACTGCTGATATTTGAATTACAGATGACCAGTCAGTAAAATGTATGTAAATATTCTGAACACCAAAAAAAAAAAAAGGTCCAAAATATGAAACACTTCTGGTCCCAAGCATTTTGGATAAGAGATACTTGGAATATGTTCCAAATATAGCAACCCTTTTCATTCTGTGTGTTCTATCTTTTATGTGTTGTTTCAAATTTTGTTGATGCCCAGCAAATTACTATCGTACAACAGTTTGGTTTTTTGTCTGGTTATATAAATATTTTTAAAAGACATTTATGTTTGAAAAAGAATATATACTTATGGTTAAAAATAATTCTACAATGCTTAAGAATACAGTGTAAGTAAGTCTCCTTAATATTTTATCTTGGAGATATTTTGTAATAGGTAATTATTGTCCACAGAACATTTTAGTTAGCAGCAGAATGCATGTGGGTGGTGGTGCCGTGGTTTGTAGCCTTGCCTATTAAGAAACGTACCATCTTTATTTAGCCCACTGATTTGAATTGCCCGTATTAGTAATAATACAATTTTAACATCTGAGCTAAGTGACTTGTGAAGAGGAAGGATTTTGGAGGTTCCAGGCTGTGACTGACTGATCCTGGCAGCTTGAGCCCATGGTGAGCCAGGCACCACACCAGTGGAGTATGCAGCAGAGCAAGCTCATTTGCGTTACCAGTTATGGAACAAAGAGAACAAGAATGGGGCTGGATTGGCAAAGTCCACTTAGAGTGCACCTTCAGTTAGCTAAGAGTAGTTCTTCCTGATAGGCCCCACTCCTCCAAGACTACCATCTCCCAGTGGTTCCCTGTGGGGACCACGCCTTAAGCCATGGGCCTTAGGAGACATTTATGATCCAAACTGGCAATGCCACTTTTATTACAGTCCATATTCTTATTTGTCCTTGGGGCTGTTTCTGGACTTTATCTCTTCTGTTGATCTGTTTTATTGCTATACTTGTGTGAAACAGGGCTTTTGTGTAGTTTGTTTTGAGACAGGCTCTTGCTCTTTTACCCAGGTTGGTCCCAGGTTCCTGGGTTCAAGTAGTCCTGCCTGAGCGTCCTAATTAACTGAGATTCTAGGTTTGTGCCACTCTGCCTGTTCCAGTTTCAAATACAGTGTTTTCAACATGCTGATGGGAATAACCCAGGAGAAAGAGAGAAATTAGTTTGTCACAATTGCATGGCATAGGTGTTTTCAAGGAATTGTGAGACCATTGTGGCAGAACAGTAAGCAAAGGAGACAGTAGTAAGGGATTATCTCTGAGATGAGAGGTCACTGAGTGAGGTCTTTCAGTTTTACAGTATCATTCTGGCTGCTTAATTGTAGGCCACAGAGAGTTGAGAGGAAACACAGAAGCAAGTAGACCAGTTAGGCTTTAGCCATAATACAGTGGGAGAGTGCTGGGTTGTAGCAAATGGTAGTGGCGGGAGAGTTGAGATGCAGTTTGAAGATATAGATGTCAAGATTTACTCTTTGGTTAATATAGGTGCTAAAAGAGAGGACAATGCTGAATCTCAGCTTAGTGTAGTGGTGCTCACCAGCGGCCCCAGCACTCTGGGAGGTTGAGGCTGGAGGATCAAAAGTTCACTTAAACTGGCCACTTAGCACTTTAGCAAGACCCTATGTCAAAGTAAAAAATGTATAAAGGCTAGGGATGTAGCTCAGTGAAGAAGCTCTGTGTTCAATCCCAAGTACTATGAGAATAAGAAAAACCAAAGAGAGGCAGACAGACTAAGCCTTTCACCTGAACAGCTGGAGGACTGATTGCTCCTTACTTACTACAAGAAGCTACATTAGAGATTAAAGGATGACTTCCATCTAGAGCGGTTGAGAGGGCTGTCAAGAAGTAGGCAGGAACATGTAAGTAAAGCTCAAGAGAAAGAATCCTGGGTAGGGATTGTCAGTATACATGTTACTGAAAGCTCTGAAACTGGGTGAGACCACTAGAAGTGAGTGTGAAGAAGAATTCAAAGACAGAATCCTGTGTGTCTGAACCTGTGGAGGTTGGTGAGATGAAATTAGCAGGAGCTTGATAAAGAAAGGCCAGTGAGGTGGGAAGGAAATGAGGATAGGCTGGTGGGAGGTGTCAGCGAAGGCAGTGTTATAGAAAGGAGGGAGAGATTCACTGTCAGAGAACATGAGGTCATTGAGTTCCTTGACAAAGTTCTTGTGGAATAGGGAGGATACGTGCAGTTGCAAATTTCTCAAGGGAAAATGGAAAGAGATTTCAGGAAGAACAGCCAGTTCTAGGAACTTTACCTTGAAAGGGAAAAAGGAAATGAAGTAGTGGCTGAAGGCAAAGTAGGATTAAGAGGGTTTTACTCAGGAGGAAGTATAGCATTTTCTACTTGGTGATGGGGATAACCCAGGAGAAAGGGAGCAATTAGTTTGCCACAGTTGTGGTCTGTTCTCCTTTGTTGAGTCTAGTAGTCATTGTTTCTTTCTCATTTCTTTGTTGTCCTGTGCCTTCCATGACTCCTTTTAGCTCTTTGAAGTATCTTCAGAAATGCCAGTGATGTAGCTTAGGATGCCATAACAAAATACCACGGACTTCGTGATTTAAAAATAATGTTTTTCCTCATAGTTCTGGAGGGTTGGAAGTCCAAAATCATGCCCACCCAAGTGTTGTAGGTGATTGTCACACACAGCCAGGCTTTCGGCTTACCCCTTTACCCTTTGCTGTTAGCTGAGAACATGAGCAGGTGGCAGGCTACATGCTGCCCAGATTCCCCTCCACCTTACTAGTACCTGGTAGTCTGCCTCTGGCAAAAATTGCAGCTATGGATGTCTCACTTCCCTTGATATGCCGTCCTCCTTCCTAGAGCTCACCCACACTTAACCTGGCGGTCAAAATGTTCAAGGGCTTATTGAATCTATCCTAAGTCTGTACCATTTTGGGGAAGTATGAGCTGTGCTTACAGCACCTGAGAAAATTGTACACACAGAATCTTATGTGCCCAACTACATCTGTTTCCATTTTTTAAAAAATGTATCACAGAATATACCTATAGAGAATGCATAAAATATAAACATCCATGTAACTTGGACCCCAGATCCCCTTCCCAAGCACAATGCTTTCCTTTAAAAAGGCGACCACCAACCTGACCTGTTTCGTGACCCTTTCCTTACTTTCCTCCTTATTTTCTTTCTAGTAATTTGTGGCTAGTTCTTAGTTTTGCCAAATGGTTTTGTTTTCAGGAAGGGGAGAGTTCCAGGATACATTTAATGTTCCGTCTTTCAGGAGGCAGATGATTGTTGTTAAGGAATTAGATAACCAAATAAATACTTGAATACATTTTATTTCATTTTTTTCTTAGAATCATTAATGATATTGGTTGTTTAGGGTTTTTTTCCTTAATAGATGGAATTAGAGGACATTATAGCTAATGCCCCAGTGGCAGAGAGCACATACTGTCCTGACTGCCAGTTCAGTGTGTGAGACGGTCAGGCAGGATGTTAACATGACTTGATTTATAGTTGTCAATGGTTGGCAATTATGGATAGAATTTTAAAGCTCCAACAGTGTACACATTAGTGACTTTCTGGTATTAGAATAAAAATTTATGTTCAAATAAATTAAAATCTTTTTTAGGAATATGAAGCCATCTACCTAGCAAAGTTAACAATACAGATGATGTCGCCACTTCAAATAGAAAGGTCCTTATCTGTTCATTCTGGTACCACAGGTAAGCATTTTTTTCTTTAAAAAAAAAAAAAATAGTGGAAAAGACACATACTTTGCATATATATATATAAGTTGTACCAAATAATTTAGAAAGGTTTTGGTAAACTTGAATTAAAACAAGGTAATTTGAAAAAGACTAATTTCATAATGAATAAATGTGTGTTACAATGAGCTTTTGCACTGTGTATCCCACTAGATACAGTCAATTAGAATATGCTGGTTAGATGATCAGATGTCTGCTTGTGTTTTGTTTTGGTCTTATAAAACTGGAGATTTAAGCCTAGAGCCTGGCACAAGCTAGATGAGCACTCCTCTCTGAGCTACCGTCCTTGGTTTAAAGTCTCCTAAGTAGTACAGCTTTACTGAAAAGGTAAAAATAATATGAATCTGGATAATTTAAATGATCTTATCAGAAATTAAGGGTGAGGGGGCACAGTAGTGTACATACACAGACACACAAGAGAAAGAGCTTCTGTGGAACAGGTAGCCTGGGGTTCAATTCCCAGATCCTGGTCCTTCAGCATTTCAGCTTCAGTAGGGTGTGAGCTACTTTTTCTCTTGCCATCAGTATTTTGACTTTTTTTCCCTCTCCTTTTACTATTTTGTGAACACCCAAACCCCTCATTTTTAAAGTTAATAATCTAAGCATGCTTTCAAAGTCTTTTACCTTCCTTTCTCAAGACTTTGCTACTCTTGTTTCTTTCTTTTATTTTTAGCCTATTAGAGTAGTCATGGCACTTGAGCTTCATTTCAGTCTTCTTTTGAACCAGCAGCCTTGTGAGGTAGAAAGGACAGATCTGTACCTAGAGTGTGAGCGCAGGAGACTGACGGGGTCTCACGTCCAGCGGGCAGTGTGCTAAGCTGCCCTGTAGCCTCATCTTGTAGGCTCAGCTCCTAGCTATTATTGACTCTTTCCTTTGCTACCCATCTGTAGTCACTTTCTAAATCCTATTGGGTCTTTTATCTCAATATTTTAAACATTTTTTTATAGTACCCTCAATCACAGCCTTGTTCAGGTCCATAGTAGTCTCCTATCTGAACTTGATCTATTTTATATATCATGAACAGGCATTTTTTTCCTTTGCCAAAGCCTTTACTTTATTCTTACAGAAGAAAATACATAAATTGCCCTTCTGACTTTTCAGTTCGTGTCTCAGTCCTTTTTTATATCTATATCCCAGAAATCTGAACTAATAGTTCTCCTTTTTTTCTAACCTAAAATGTACCATACTGTCTTCTTGTTTCTGTACATGACATGTCATTTCCTCAGGAAAACATGATGCTTAACACTCTGTCTCCAAACCCTCCATTCAGAGGAGAAAGAATCTGAGAAGCACAATACTTCACTGAAACCCAATCACAGGGGCCAGGGAGATGGCTCAGTAGAATAAGTGCTTTCCTGGCAAGCGCAAGGGTCTGAGTTCAATCCTTGGTTCCACCAGAAAAAAGAAAAAGAAAAGAAACCCAATCACAGCTTCTGCATTTAGCCTTGACAAGAATATTTTCTTCTGCTTTATTCCACTGTATTGACAGTACATTTTTACTGTTCTGATCTTATAGAGAAACATTAGTTTCTCATTGGAAATTGCACTCTCAAGTAACATTAGCGAGATTTAATACAACCTTTGGGGTCAGAGAGATAGCCCAGCAGTCTAAGCATCTGCCTGGCAAGCCCAAAGACCCAGTTCAATCCCCGGTACCACATGCTATGCCAGCCCCATGCCATGCCGGCCACTGGAATTGGGGGTGGTGGTACACCCTATAATCCCAGCACTGGGGTGGCTAAGACAGGGAGATCACTATGAGTTTGAACTGCATAGTGAGGCCCTGTAAAAAATAAAAATAAATATCTTTTTAAAAAATACAACCTTTAGGGCATAAGTTTGAGGCCATGCCTTTGTTAGGCACAAAACATACAGCAGTTCAGCTGTTCTCTGTACAGAGACTCAGATTTCCTGAATATAACTGTTGGGGAATATTGAAATAGGTTTGGTTCTGTTTAGGGAATTAGTGCACTACTTGCTGCTCATTCCTTTCTGTCACCCTAAACTTGTTGACAATAAGACAGCAGGGGCTAGGGAGCTAACTCGGTGATCTGAGCGCCTGCCTTGCAAGCACAGGGATCTGGATTCAATCCCTAGCACCACGTGCCCTGCTGGCCACCGCAACCAGGTGTTGTGGCGCGTGCCTATTATCCTAGCACTGGGTAGGCTGAGACAGGATGGCTAAGTCTGAGCTGCATATCGATAGCCTGTACCAAATAAATGAATGAATGATTTTTAAAAACAGGTGCAGTGGAACAATACTTTTTGCTGCTTTTCATAACAGCATCTGTGAAAACAAAATTGTAATTTTGTCTAAAATTTATACAGCTATAGGGGGCTTGCAGGTTAGCTCAGTTGTTTAAGCACCTGCTTGGGCAAACCCAGTCAGGCACAGCGGACCTCGGTTTGATCCCCAGCTCCACATGCCTTACCAGACCTGCCCTTAAGGCAGCCTGAACCAGCCAAAAAAGAAAGAAAAATCTCTCTAAAATTCATACAACTATAATTAGTTTCTTGAAGTTTATATCCTATGTTATATGTTTATATGCTTAAGACAGAAAATTGTTGAGTCTGAAGCCAGCCTATTGTAGTCCAGGCCAGCCTGAACTACGTAGTGAGACCTTATCTAAAAAAACCCACACATGAACACAGTATTTATTTATTTTTATGTATTTATTTTGGCAGTACTGGGGATCATACTTGGGACCTTGGTCTTGACTTGCCAGGAAGGTGCAGTTACGCTGCTGAGCTATCGCCCTGGCCCTAATGTATCAAATATTAAGAATTAACTACATTCTTTAATTCTCAGGAGAGAAAAATACAGCTTGACACAAGGTTAAAGGTTATTTGGGTAATTTCCCACAAAAGAACTTGCTAAAAGTTTGTCTTAAGTTCAGTCATGAAATTATGTTAAGTATGTGGTATCACAATAAATTTGTACTGGCTGTTCCATTCTAATGTAAACTTACTGAATTTTCATGTAATGTTCCCTCAATAACTTCTAGGCAGTTTGAAGAGAACACATGAAGAAGATGATGATTTTGGAAACATGCAAGTGGCAACTGCACAGAACGGCTGATTCAAGAGTAACATTATTG